AATTAACATTTTTCTTATTTCATTATGATAGCTACTAAGCTAAAGCATTTTATCCTAGATGGAATTGAGGTTAATAAAGTACGGTGAGGGATCAGTTGACTTTAATTTTAGATACTTTTATTGACAGTAGTTAAAGAAGCTAATTTTAGCAAGGAAATTGAGGGGAAACTGTAACTTAGATAGTTAAAAAATCGCCGTCATAGAAACATAATTTGTTTTCCGTGTTCTTCTTAAATTAACAAATAATAAGATATACTCTGCCAATTACTTATATTAATGAAAAGTTGAAATTATGTACACTATAAACGAGTTATCTAACAATTTTGTGTTCTTTTCTAAGTCTGATGGCTGAAATCGAAATATAATTGTTGGTAGTTTTGGATTAGCAAAGCATTATAATCTAGATAGATCGCTTGTAGATATTTATAGCATTAAAGATGGACTAAGATGGAAAAGCAATTTAGTGCTTAGTGATTTTAATATTTCACAAGCTGATATAACTCTGTGATAATATATTTAGATGAAATAAATAATAAACAAACATCGTTTCATAACTAACTGTCAGACCGAGAAATTGATGATTGTACAAAAAAAAATTGCTCCGACTTTTTAAATCTATCAATTCTAACCTGATGGAGTTATTTGCCCATAAAATTGGATAGTTCAGTTGTCTTTGGTCGATTTAGCTGAACATAAGAAAAGTGAAGTGTTGGATTTCAGTATATTTGTATTTCTTAGACAGATTATAAGATCATACGTTTGATGTCGTTTAGAGTGGTAAACGTTGTGATACACAAAACTAAAACAAAACAGTTAGTTGATTATTATTTTTTAAATCTCGTTAACATAACTACTCAATTCAGTTTATTAGTAATCATTAAAACCCTGCACTTACGCATGCATATATATATATATATATATATATATATATATATATATATATATAGACTTTTAGTCAAACCTTATTTTCAATCAATCATAAACATAATCAAATATATCCGGAGATTAGGACACAAGATAAAAGATTCAGTCTAAACAGTTGAAAATAAACATTAATCCATTCCCATCCGTTCTCATCATTCCGATGTGTGTTGTTAAATTAACACTTATCATACTTTTAAGAACATAACATTGTTTCTTTTTTCTATTATGTACAAAACAATCTTTGACATTTCATATTATGTTTTAATCATTACACTGATATAATGTATTTGTGTAAAACTAAGAATGAATATAAGACAACTAATTAAACATTTGTATCAAGGCATTTTGTTATAATCTTTTTTGTTTTCCTGTTTATGTTTACCGACGATATCGAATTCTAATAATCATAAGTGTTTCAATCTATAGAGAAAAATCAGTTCAACAATAGTTAAAAAATCAGTATTATTACTGATGATGATAAACATAATTTTATAATTATAACAGTAATCATTAAGAAGATTAAAACGAAAATCTATACAAGAAAATGTTATTCAAATGGTGGATAACTAAAAAAACTAGAGTTAATAACAACAAATGCATAATAAATTTATTTGTACTGGATGTTTAAATCTTTCCACTGATGTTATGGACCGCAGTTGATCAGTCTCCTTTGTCATATGCACGTCTTGCGTAAATCATTTCGACAACGCTACTAAGTCGACAGCATTCAACACGTTGTGTAAGTCAGGGGCTGTTTTTACTCGGTAGATATGAAGAAAACATAATAGTCGTTTGAAGCAGAGGTAATGTGTTTTGAGCTCCTGCTTGAACATTAACACAGGTACAGGTAGGATTAAACGCATGTATTGGATTCCACTATTAGTAGCCATTGTCCACACAGTGTCGAAGGTCAATTATCTTAGTGTCACCTTTTCCCCTGATCTCTCTTAGTCTTCTCACTTTTTATTGTTATCAAAGAAGGTTTTCCGTCTGACCTACTACATTTACTCTTACAATTTGTCAATTCTTGCATATTTCCTATTATTCTCGACTGTTCTCCATTATTCTTTCCCGGGCTTTTGAGAAAAGACTTTGCTGTATTGCTGAGAGTGCTGAAGGCAGTTAGCAATGTGTGTGGTGAATCTTTTGAGATCATCATTAATATGGTTGTGGATAGGCATCTAAAGTTTTTAAACTCCTTGCACGTGTTATCACATACTAACCATCTCCCATTCTCTTTGTATATCTTCTGGTAGAACGAGATGTAATTACATTAAAATCCATGTACGCAGGCACAAGTATAAAGGTTCTATAATACCTTACCTAGAAAATATACTCTGTGACGAACAGGTTGTTAGAGTTAACCTAGTCAATAACTCGCATTCTTAACATGTCTCTAGTTTGAAAAGTTGTACAGTTTTTCAGATTTTTTCAAACCTTTTTTCCTTTTTTGTCTTTGTTTCTGTTTTTTGTGTAAGAAACTTGTTGAAATACCCTGTGCTGAAAATTCTATATTGTACCAAAATATAATGTTGAATAAAGCTATTAATAATAATGATAAATTCTGCTTGACTGAATATCAAATACTCAAACTTAGAACAAGTAAGGGTGATGATTTAGAATGAAGTAAAATGTCGTTTCCTTTGACGATGCATTTATAGAGTCCTCCATAGTTGATCTCTAACAGTGGAAAAATCATATCATTTGACTGCAAAAATATTTGACGATATTAGATTACTAAATTTGTCATATATTATGGCTCACATTCATCTCATGTACTGTAGCTTGGGACTGCTTAACAATGATTATTAATTCGGTGTATCTGTGATCATAATCGGTGGGATAATAATTCGTCTGATTCGAATTATAGTAGATCAGGGATGACAACCTGGAGTGGTACGGGTTCGAACCTCCTAGTATTTTAATATTTAGTTTTATGCAGTAGGTACATACTGTGTACGGATGCCAAGTGGTACAAGTTTATGATCCATGACTTACAGTTTATATACGCATTCCAACATAATAGACAGAAATCGAACACAAAACTCTCGATAGCATTACATTATTAAGACTGTTTTATGTATGATAAATTTAATTAGTTATGTCAATGTAATAATAATTATAATTTTATTTATTTCATCTAACGTTACAGAAACTGTAGAAGTAATTGTTTTGATTCAATCAGAAAAGTTTAGTTTGAATATTATACTCTTTATTATTATTTGATCAGATCAGAAAAATGGTCTCCATAATGAAATAAATTTAATTCATCTCGTTTAAACTTGTTCCCGCATATGTGTAATAATTTTATCAGGATAGTTTTGTGCGAAAGAAAAACAATTATGCAATGTTTATTTCACTATCTTCACTTAACAAGATGTAGGCATTTAACCTTATACATTAGGATAGAATAAGTTAGATAGATCAATGACATATTCAATCTTATGGCTTTTTTTAATGTTACTATTATTGGAGTAGGCAATATGAGTAAATTAATAATAAATAATAAATGCCTATGTATATATGTGCCTGATTCTATGCTGAATATGGCTAACTGAAAAGTTAAGCCAACGATCGTGTAGTTAATATATATGTACGGTGATAATAATAACAATCAGTTCAAGATGATAAGATGTTGTTTACAAAAGATTGGAATAACTCATCTGATAAGGTATCAGAAATTTATTTGAAGTTTATTTTTCAATTATCTTAATGCTTATAATTGACATTCTTATCTAATTAAAAAGAAATTACTTTTCTCCCAAAAATACTAAACTTGTAGACAGGAATTCAATATGATAATAAGGATAAACGAAGATGTAAATACACTTCAGGTTAGAAATAAAATGTATTTAACTTTAAATTAATGCTGATAGAATACTAACAAAGCACAGTCTTACTAATCATGGTTATTTATACTTGAGCGGGAACAGGTATTTTTTTTTAAAAAAAGACCTCACTTGATAGTGAAAACATTAGTTTAACTTCAATGTTTTCCTGATAAAATGATAGATTCCACCGTGAGAATAACACAGTTTAGTTTCAAAGTCTGAATCACTCCAGCAAAACTAATTTGCATTAACAGAAATTAAAATATTTCAGAATAAAATTATTTACTAATTGATATTTGGAAATTGTAGCAAATATCATTATTCATTGTTTATATTCAACATATTTATGTAGGTGCTTTTTTTCACCCATGGGTGTAATACAGTTATAAAATATAGGTATCAATACCAAGGTTAGACTTGATAGTTTCAAATAGATTGAACATTGGGTGTACAGTTAATATCCCATTGAGTGGTAAAATTGTATTTTTGACGTTTCGTAACTCGATGTAAGCCACTTCTTCATAGTAACTAAATAATACAGTTATAAACTGTTTATAATCTTATTAGAATATTAAAGATTCCCTTGGTGAAAATTAGAACAACACATACAATCGTCATCAGGCTTTAAATTTTTTTTAATTATTATTATTATTTATTTATTTTATTCTATTTTTTGTTATCATCAGCTTTATTTCCACATCTAGTATTTGTTTGTAATTTTCTGCCTCTTGCCGTTTGTATTCTTCACTATCTAATATTTACACACCACTTATTACGTAAGGATTTTAATGTTTTGTGGTGACTATTCCAAGTCTATTTACCCATGTTTAGCCTTCCATTTCCAACGTTTAACTATTGATAAGACTTTTGTTATCGTATTTTATTATTCTTACTACTATCAGTACACCTGTCTTCCTACTATCAACTTGTACTTTTACCTATTATGTGTGGTGACTTATTCTATTTCATTGTGATTATTGACCCAAACTGCCTTGATTGGTTTAACATTTTCGTATAAATATTCGTGTATATTAGAGTAAAACCTGATGACGATCTAATTGAAAACAATATTGTTCGCTTATATGTGTTGTTATAATCTTATTAAACAAATCAACCTATTTTATTTGTCAAATCATTTAAAATAATACTTTATTAAGTCATGAAAATCACTGAATAACTCTAATATCAATGGTAATTAATGGATGAATAGTATTACTGAAACAATAATAACAATAATTTACTTACCAAAATCAATTAAACATCCAATTAATAAGGTTATAACCAACATGTGTAATTTGTTTCCATTCATACATAGAACACTTTTCCATGATTGATTATATAAATAAATAATTATGAATTGTTGTTTTAAACATTGAATTGTCAACATTGTTTTTAACAACAACAACAACAACAAGCAAAAATTGTCTAATTGATATAATTGACAAATAAAATATATAAAATAATGAAATTTAATTCAGAAAATGTTTTTTGATATTTTACTAAAAAAATTTTATTTTTTTTTAATTTTTGTTTGGTGACAAAAAATTGTTTTGATTTATTTATTGATTAAATTGTTTTTTTTTTTTCGTGATCAGTTTTTTGATTAATTTTTCAATATCATTACAAAGTAAAATCATCTTGAATGGTTCATAGATATAATAAGAATGGATCAAATGGATCAATATTTTCTTGATATTTGAATACTTGTATTTAAGAATCTAAAATAAAAAAGAGTGAAAATAAAACAAAACTATTGTATCATGTGTATTTTTTTAAAAAAAACCGTGGTGATAACCATGGAAATAATCTTTTTTACAAAATAAAAACAATTAAAGTTATCATTTAACAGTATGTATTTACAAACCAATACAAATATAATCCAGAGTACATAATGTTTAGGTTGAGATAATGTTAGATAATGGATTTGTAGATTCAGAGATTTATATTTATAAAGGAAGTGAATTCATAAGCATTCAGTAAATGAATATCATTACCAAGGTATGATTTGATAATTTCGAATACTTTGAGTATTAAATAGATTAATCTAAGTAATTTGGATTCATTTTGTGTTGGTCAATTACTCTCTGAGGAAGTGGCTTACACTGAGTTACGAAATGTCAGAAAATCTCATTTTTCTACTCTTTGAGATATTACAATTATATTATTTTATTTAATTAGTTAAATAAGCTTTCTTCATATTAGTTTCAGGTAGAGTTTATTGTCAGAATTGGATTTAAGCACATACTAATAACAAAGTTATTTAAATCTAAAGTGTTATTCAGTTAAAATTTGATTTCTGAACACTTATTATTCATTATTCTTAAGAGCTATATAAAATAACAAAACGTTATAATGGTGTAGTGAACGAGAACACATATTGTGACAATCGAGTTTATTTGAACATAAAATTACGGAACATCTGCGAACCACACAGTAAATACTTCATTTGCAAAATATCAGTCAGTCGTCTAAGACTTTGTTGTTCCTTCGTCTCCATACAAGTCACTCTGTTCTCGTTTTCTTTTGTTCGATCTCCTTAACCTTCTGCTGCCAAACATTCCATTCATAACTATTGTTATACACTAGTCACGTTGATATAAGTAACACACATCATGATGAAAATCTCAGATATATCAGTAAAATTTCATGTATAAAGTAATAATTTAAATTATCATAGTTACCAGCATTAGTTAACAATACATGCCTTTTTTTCATTTCATTTATTTGAAGGAAGGTATGTATCTTTGATATATTTTTCTTCAAAATCATTAAATATGGAAGAATATATTAATTACAAGAAGAAATAACTAATTAGTTATTAAAAAAATAAACAAATCTAATTAAAATGCATCCAGAATACCCTAAAACAATAGAGATTCACAATGTGATGAATGAGAATACTGAAACGTTATTAAATGATACTAATAAAAAGCTTTAAACTAGATACACAAATGAAATGTTTAAGTTAAAAAGATTCTGGTTGTTAAGTCATAACATGTTAAATAAAGCTAACATGTACAAATACGTTTTATGTAGGGATAAAAACACTTGGGCTCTTACTTGAAAATGAATTATTATGTATAGTTCAACCGGTTCATTATAATTGATTTGTTATATATCTTATTTGTTACATTGATTTACGAACGATTAAGAATTTTTGACATGTTGATACATATAGATGTCAAGAATAAAGCATGAATTATGTGAATAATAATGCTTACAGAAGAATAAATGAAGCTATTCATCATAATTCTTTCAATCATGATTAACAAAGATTGTTTCTTGGTTTGTGAATATACACTTCAAGGTTTGAATTAACCAAATATTAGTCATGATTACAATCAACCTTTTACAACTGGAAAAATGATTTTAATAAATTACGGAATAAATCGAGTTCTAATCATAATATTTAGTCATTTTTGATCATAGCACTGACGAGTTAGTCTTGTCTGATGAAGACGTTTACATAGTCTAGTCTTCTGAACACTTGGGTTCGGATGAATTTCTTACCATTTAGATGAGCTACGTATAGGGAGTGAAACAATTTAGTACGTCAACGACTTCGCTTATCATGGAAAGGATTCAGACAGCTCAATTGGCCTTTATTATCCTTCATTACTAGTGGCGTAGAAAAGACTTCTGTCAGTTAGCGGAAGGACGAATATATTGTAAAGTAATTCCGTTTTATGTCTGCGAAAAATGACCTTTAAAAATAAACTATATTCGTAGTTTCCTAGTATTTGAAAATATATGCTTTTCAAGTACCACTCGCATTTGCTTGGCACTTAGAAACCCCGAGGCTAGATAAAGATGGCATATCAAATGATGAGGTAGTGAATCTCTACTGACTGAGACAACTGAGACGTATATCATTTATGCTCAGCTAACGTCAACCTTGAAGAGTGATGTTTTCTGATGTATGAGTAACATGGAAAAAAAGGCTAGTGGCAGTCGAATCAAGATAAGGAATCATTCTATAAATTTAGCGATTTTTTGGCTGAGCTCTCCACTCGTCTGCAGACTTTCTACTTAGGTTCAGGGGATTATCGCAACCAATCGTTATAAACGTTTGATGGTATGATTCGAAATCGTTCGTAGTGGAGCAAATGCATTCACTCATTATCTTCACCTAACTCCTAAATTTTTAAATTAACTTATAGCATTTTTTTCTCTCTCTCTCAATAATCTAGAATTTCATCTGGAATAATATCTTCTATAGTTAATGTTCCTATTAGAACTAATAATGTAACTGCGTTTAATACTGTAGAATCCGTTTTGACGATTTTATTACACTGTTCTTATAGAAAGTGATAATTTAAACCAATGCACATATGTGGCAGATTCTACGCTTCCTATAACGCACTGATTGACTGAAATAGTAATCAACATAATTGTTTTACTATGCATTCCAGTTAGTTTAAACTTCGCCTGGGACCCCTCTGTGGCTACTACCGGTCCCAAAATCGGATAAAGGAGGAGGGTTAGACATGAGTTTAACTACCCCATCCGGTAGAATACCAACTCGCTAAAAAACGCTAACCAGAAAAAAAAATTAATTCAGTTACTTTAAAATTTCTTTATTCAATTTTTTTAATTTATTCTCAACAGATCATAAAATGTATTCTTACCTATTACTTCTTGATGTAGAAAAGAAGAAGTAAGCTCAAAGTGAAAATCATAAAATAGTAAACGTTTACTCATCAAACATTGAATATTTCCTTGTAAAATTCTATAAACAAATATTCGCACAAAAATCGTTTCTTTTTTGTTTCTATGTGTATCTCATTTACTCAAAAGGTAAGAAATAATAAAGTGTATCATATTACCGGAAATATCATTTCTATTTTATTACGTCAAGACGTATTCTTATTGTTCAATGCTGATTGTGTAAAAAACTAAAATTGAGACATTTTAATTGTTATTTACTTGAAATCATAATCTTGTTTTATGATTTTCATGGAAAAACAAAATTAATACATTAGATTAAAAGAAATATTTTATTCGTAAAACAAAGTAACTTGGCAGAAAAATTCGGATTCTCACTTTTTTTATAGTAAACTAGTGATGTATGCCACTTATATAAGTAGTATGTCACACAAATCAAAAGTGATATGCTTGTTTAAAGAAGATCGAGAAGATGAAATTGAAGAAGACAGAAATTGTAACAGAGAAGAATTGAAGACGACTGACGGAAGATGTACAAATAAAGTATGTAATGTATGTTTCTCGAAATTTAATAAGACACTTGTCATTTCACATTAATCAATAAATTGATTAACCCCATTAAGTTTGTATTCACCACAACATGGTTACTGACTGTGTGAATCTATTCATTAATTTTATCCTAAAACCAAACACTATTTGAGGAGAATTTGAAATTTCTAGATTGTTGATTTATCAGTCGAAAGCACTTACATTTAACAAAAATCATAATAAATATTACAATGTAGGTAGTTTCAATAAACGAAATTTAGAGATCTACAATGAACATTTTGGCTTCTGATGTTATCCAACAACATAGTTGAGTTAAAAAAACTTAAGCCTCACTCTTTGCTAAGCTATTAAGTGATATTCTAGACACGTTATTACCGAAATTATTGAACTAAGAATATAATATTTATAATAATGTTGCATTTAATAATACATGATGGAATACATTTACCATTATCTAATACAATAGTTTAGTGAGAGTTTCATATTCATTATCAAATCGGTAGCTTATCCTTTATTAAGTGATATTCTGAATCCATGAAGTTAAACATGCCATAAGAAGTTTCGACTACATTGAGAATTACTAGTATAGGGGTTGTGGAGATTATTAAGTTTTTGATTAAGATCATAAACCGATTAATGTTAGACCACCTTTGAAAACCTAGAATTGGTTATAAGTTAATAATAAATATATTTTTCGTTATTTTAATTTACTCTGAAGAAGTGGCTTATATTAGGTCACGAAATGTTAGAAATACGATCTCTCTACTCATTAGGATATAATTTTTTAAAAAAATATTATTTCCACAAGAAAAAGTCACTGGCATGATGGTCTAACAAGTTTTTAGTAAGAAGAAATCGATTTCATCAATCCATGCAAAATTCATGTTGAAAAAACGTCTTCAATCTAAAATGTTTATTGATTTGTAACCAGAAAGAGTAAATCATTGAAGAGATCTCTTTAAGACAAACCTATTCCTAACATTCTCCTATTTTGTAAAATTATTCTTTTTTGCAAAATCATCGATAATAATTGTTGACCATGGCAACAATTTATCGAGAGAGCAAGACAAGCAAAATCACGAAGAGACTATAATGTAATTGATAAGATCTTGAGTATTGAAGAAAAATGTCATGTGTTAAGTAAAGATCAATAATTGTGGAAATGAATTCAGT